GGGGTGGGGGGCGACTGGGGGACTGAAGTGTGAGGCCATGGCTTTCACCTCTTGGAGTCACACAGAATGATCCCAACCATTCTTCAACTCGCAAATCCTTATGTCCTTCTAGCACTTTAAAGACAGATCTCTTATTATCTTTAAATACTCTCTTTTCCAAGTTAAATACACTTATTTACTCCAAGGACTTCTCGTATACTTTGGAGTCCCATCTCAATCCTGACTGTCCTGAAGTCCCGCGAGAACACTCCAGCTCGTCTACATTTCTACAGGCAGAACCCCTAAATGGAAGAAAAAACGCCAACCCGACATCACAGGATCCGTGTTTACCGACGGCATCTTTCCTTCCTAGACCTGGGTGTACAACTGAGGCAGGTCTTTGCAACAAAGATGCTAAGGACCTCGATGTCCACCATTAATTTCTTCCTCTTTACTGCACCCCAGATTTTAGCTAAGCACATGGTTGGCCAACTAGAGCCTAATCCCCGTCTTCTTTGTATCTGAGTATGAGACTGTGTGGCTTAACCACGTGACTAAGTTCTGGTCCACACGATCTTCTTTTTTTTTTTAATGTGAAATTCATTGCCAAATTGGTTTCCGTACAACACCCAGTGCTCGTCCCAACCAGTGCCCTCCTCAATGCCCATCACCCACTCTCCCCTCCCTCCCACCCCCGTCTTACTAACAAAGCCATTTATTCTGGTCTTCCTGCCTCCCCTGCTGGTGGGAAAGGGAGACAGCTGTAGCAGCCCTGTGTTCAGAGACGGAGGAGAGCAGAGAACACCAGCCCGTCTGGGTCTCTGGATGATTTCCTGAGGCAGAGAGCAGTCTACTCACCCTAGACGGCCCAGCCACCTCGGACCGTCACATGAGGCACAAAGAAATTTCCATAACCTCTGGGCCACTGTAGCGACAGCAGGGGTCATCCTCATGTGGACCCCACTGCCTTCGGGGTTCGTCCACATAGGTATTCAGGAAGCACATCAAGCACCCGCTAGGCACTAAGACGCTCTGTATCTGGCACCTGGCCCGTGGCAGTATCATTATTTCCGAGATGGGCAGTATATTGTCCTTTGTTCACAATCTGTCTTGTGACAGCAGGAAACCGGGTTCAATGTTAGTCTTTTCAGCTCCCTGTTGGGCCTTGTGACACCGGTCACGAGCTCGATGGCCACTGCCTCATCTAGGCTGCCTCCTTCGATCCCCAGAATAACTTTACGAAACAGGTTGCTACTACTCTCCGCTTACAAATTTAAAAAAACTAAGCCTTTAAAAAAAATGATTTCAATTTTCTTAAGAATCAGCAAATAATATAATCTAAAAAAGATAGCAAGGGGCGCCTGGGTGGCTCAGTCAGTTAAGCATCTGACTTTCGGTTTCAGCTCAGGTCATAATCTCATGGTGGTGGGATGGATCCCCACATCGGGCTCCACACTGGAAGTGGGGAGCCTGCTTGGGATTCTCTCTCTCTCTACCCCTCCTCAGTTCACTCGGTCTCCCTCCCTCCCTCCCTCTCTCTCTCTCTCTCTCTCTCTCTCTCTGCCCCTCCCCTGCTCACTCAGTCTCTCTCTCTCTCTCTCTGCCCCTCCCCTGCTCGCTCTCTCTCTCTCTCTCTCAATAAATAAATATTTACAAAAAAGTAAAAGAGACAGCAAGAAATCTGTAACATTTTCTGAACAGTTGACAGTGACAGAACAACATCTTGCTCTGTGACCTCCCCATTCGGCTCTGAATTAATTTCCCAAATTCAATCCACTGAGCAACAGACCTTCTGCTCCGTGGAAGAAAACATGCTGCTTTTTGTCAAACAAGTTCGAGGACTACAGCGTAATAGGGAGATTCACACTATGCATTTAAATATTTAAGTCTCTGATAAGGC